TTTTGAAAGAGTACCCTCATTTCAAAAGTTACTATAAAGCTACATATATGAGTAGGTACATATCTGTACCCTAGTATGTTCTATTTATTATTTTGTCAGTTGTTACATTAATACCACAGTGTCTTGATTTTTTTCACTCAATAAATAAGTTTGAAATCAAGGAGTATAAGTCCTGCTACTCTGTTGTTTATGAAACTTGATTTTATTCTTCCTGAATTTCTCTATAAATTTTAGAATTGGCTTGTCGATTTATTTTTTAAAAAATAATCTCTTGGGAGTTTGTTGGGATTAAATGATAGATCAATTTGCATAGATTACATGATAGACAGAGAGAACTGGCATTCCTAATAATATTGAATCTTCTAATTTATGAATTAGGCATAGCTGTCCATTTACGTATGTCTTCTTTAATTTCCCTCTGATATGTTTCATACTTTTCAATGTACAGGCCTTGTGCATATTTTATCAAATTTATCTTTAATTATTACATAGCCTTTGATGTCATTATAAATGGTGTTGTTTTTTAATTTCAATTTATAATTATTTTTTTCTAGTATGTAGAAATACAACTGACTTGCAAATTGATGTTGCATCCTGCAACACTGCTAAACTTACCATTCCTAGGAGCTTTTTCATAGATTTGTAGGGTTTCCATATAAATTCCATATTATCTGTTAACGAACAGTTTATTTCCTTATTTCTAATTGGTATGAGTTTATTTATGTTTCTTGCCTTATTGTACTAGTTAGAATCTCCAGTAGAATGATGAATAAAACTGATGAGAAAGCTCATTTTTGACTTGTTCCTGATTGTAGAAGCAAAGCATTCAGTATTTATTATTAAGCAAGAAATAATATCTGTCTTACATGAACTCTTCTAGCAAAATGAAAAGAAGAGAATGCTTTGCAATTCATATTAGAACACCAGCATTACCTTGATATCAAAATCTGACAAAAATCATTTAAGAAAGGAATAGTACAGCCAAATATCCCTCATAATATAGATGCAAAAATCCTAAGCAAAATATTAGCAAATTGAATTCCACAATATATAAAAATGATAAAACATGTTAGTTTAAATTCAGGAATGCAAAATTGAATTAATAATTGAAAATCAATCAATGTAATTCACATTAACAAAATAAATTAGAAAGACCTTACTATTATGTTAAAACATGCATAAAAAAGCATTACACACTAAATACCTGCTCATAAAAAAGCTTTCATAAAAAACAATGACTAGATGGTATCTTAGTCTGTTTGTGCTTCTATAACAAAATATCTGAGACTGGATAATTTATAAAGAACAAAAATTTATTTCTTACACTTCTGGAGACCAAGAAGTCCAAGATCAAGGTGTTGGCATTTGCTGTCTGGTAAAGACCTTCTTGCTGTGTCCTCACAGGGAAGAAGAGATGGAAGGGCAAAAATGGGCCTAGTTAATTCCCTCCATCACTTACATAGGACACTAATCCCATCCATTACAGCAGAGTCCTTATGGCCTGATCACCTCCTAAGGGCCTAACTTCTTAATACTATTACATTAGGGATTAAGTTTCAATATGAATTTTGGAAGTGACACAAACATTCAAGGCACAGCAGATGAGAACTTCCTTAATGTGATAAAGGATATTTTTAAAAACCCACAGCAAACACTGTACTTTATGAGGAAATACTGAAAGGTTCAAAACAAGCAAAATTAATCAATAGCTATAGAAGTCAGAAGAGTGGTTACATCTGTGGAGATAGCTACTGATTAGAAACATTAGAGAGGTTTCTTGTGTCAGGCCTTAAAAACTAACACCACCTTAAGTGACATTACAAGAGGCACCATTATGGGCCCACGAGGGCATATTAACATGGCAGCCTAAGACGGCGCCGGGAGGAAGTAGGGTGGGAGTGTCTGCAGGAACCTTGCCTTAGCCCTTATTGGCCAAATATGAGCTTCCGTGCTCATGAACACTGCGTGATTGCAATAGCTAGGCATTGAGACAGGATGCATTCTCTTGACCTTTAAGCTGATAGGATTATGTTAAAACCTCCCCTCCCCATCTGCCTATAAAAGCAAGTACTTGTGTGATAATAAACGGAACTGCTCGACAGAACCCCCGCCGCGTCTGAGTGTCCTTTAATGAGCTGGTTAGGGCCGGCAGCTGTGCTCACCTCTCTTCACGGCTCTCTTCCCCCATCTCCTTCCAACGGGGACCAGAGGGAAAGAGGAATCCCAGCAATTTGCTCGCCCACCAGAAGGAACACCAAGGGAGAGACTGATAACGAGGCGTTTTTTCTAGGGCTGTTCAGGTCGGCTGGCGGTGGACCCGACATCTTGGAGACTGGAAATATCTTATATCTTGATCAGGGTGGTTTTTATATGAGTTCAATAAAACTGTTCATGAAAAATTTCAATGGTGTTTTTCATGAAACTTTATAAATTATCCTAAAAGTTATATGTAAGAGCTAAGTACCAACACAGCCAAGACACTTTAAAGGACAGTAAGGAAGGAGGAATAGATCTACCAAATATAAAAACTTATTATAAAGTTACACTATTAAAAACAATGTAATAGTATGTAAGAATACAGAAAATACAACAGAGCCCAGAGAGAAACTTACAAATATACTTAATTAAGATATATGAGAGAGATGGCCCAGCACTACATTGGAAGAAAAACGGGGATGTTTCAACAGGTTGAGCTGGAAAAACTGGTTATTATTTGAGGAAAAATAAATAAATAAAAACAGATCCTTACCTTATACTATGAACAAAAAACAGTTCTGAATGAATTGTAAACATAAATGACAAAAGCAAAACTTTAAAACTTTTTGAAGAAAATATACCTTTCTGTCTTTAGATATAGAAGAATTTCTTAAATGAGATACCAAAACACTAATACAAGAGATTGGTTTGTCTAAATTAAAATTAAAAGTTAATTTATGTTCATCAAATGGCACCTTAAGGAAAATAGAAAAGAAAAGGTTCATAGTGAAATAAGATATTTGCCACACATTTAATTTACCAGGAATCAAGTAAGTTTATATCAAGAACATATAAAAAACTTTTATAAATCAATCAGAAAAAAATCCAGGGGCCGACCCAGTGGCGCACTGGAGAGTGTGTCGCTTGGGAGTGCGGCGGCGCTCCCACCGAGGGTTCAGATCCCATGTGGAGACCGGTTCCTGCTCACTGGCTGAGCGCGGTGCGGGCGCAGCACCGAGGGTTGTGATCCCGTTACCGGTCAGTAAAAAAGACAAAAAGGAAAAATAAAAAAATCCAGTAGAACAGCAATGTCAAACAACAAAGATGAATCTTAGTAACATAATGATGAGTAAAAATTTCCAAACCCCATGCAACAACACATATTATGCCATTTATATAAATGACAAAATTAAACAATATACTGTTTACTCATAAATTTCTACATGACAAAATTTTTTTAAAAAATAATCAAAATGATAAACAGTTTAGTGGTTACCTCTGGTGACGGAATCAAGGTACCAGATTAGGGAGGAACATAGAAGTAGTTGTAAGTCATTAGTAATGTTCAAGTCATTGGATGAGTTGGTGGCACCAATCGTATTTAATATAATAAATAAAGTAATTAAATTAAATTAAATAGGCCTATGCCCATATCATAATAGTGTGTCATGACACAAACTTTAGGATTAATCCAATTCCATGCACCTGATGTCCAAAAAATGCAATACCAGACAAGGCAAGTTTTAAAACTGTTGTCAAAAATAAATAAATAAAACAAAATAAAAATTGTTGTCTTAAGGTTGAGTTATTAGCAAGACAAAATGTGCTAGATTCAAAAATCACTGTTGGGGCCGGCCCGTGGCTCACTCGGTAGAGTGCGGTGCTGATAACACCAAGGCCCCGGGTTCGGATCCCACATAGGGATGGCCGGTTCGCTCACTGGCTGAGCGTGGTGCTGACAACACCAAGTCAAGGGTTAAGATCCCCTTACCGGTCATCTTTAAAAAAAAAAAAAAAAATCACTGTTGAAAAATCATTAAGAAACACTTACACACCCAATTACATGTCTGTGTTCATTCCATTTCTGAATTAAATTAATAAATTCTAAACTTTAAAAAATAATGCTGAGTGCCTTAAAAACACTTAAATCCTCAGAGAATTACTGTGCAGTATATGCATGTATTGAAACAACACACTGTACCCCACAAAAATGTACAAATGTTAAAATGAAGAAAAAAGAAATAGAATGTTTAAAAAGATATTTAGACCTGAAATTTACCTTGCAGATTATCTGAAAGAAGTACCATTGAACATTTTCTGTATGCCAAGTTAATGCACTACGTCATTAAAACTCACAAAACTATGACATAGATAACATTAATATCAACATTTTATTTATGAAGACACTTTAGACAAAAGAGTTAAGAAATGTTTCCAAGTTCATAAAGCTCACGGGCAGAGCTATAATTTGATCTCAGGTTGTTTTTAATCCAGATCACCTATATTTATCTATACATTTACACTACCTCATGTACCACAGGAAATATTATAATTAGGAAGGTCAGTGACCTGTACAAAAATCATACAACAAGGTAGTGACAGAATCAGGACTAACAGGAATTAAGTATCATATACCAGGCATTATGGTAAGTAGTTTATGAGTATGACTTACTGCTTACTGTTAGATATTCTTTCCATTTCATCACCCAATTCAGTTAGAAAGTCTCAAAATAGGCATGACCAATTAATTTGCTCTTCAATAATGTATGTAAGGCAAATGATTCACCACAATAACTATACTTGATATATCCTGTATTTCTACATACATTTCTTTATAAATCTGTATTGTATATAACATTCGTGTCTACAGAGTACAAAAAATAGTATAATGCAAAACTATCTGACACAATTTATATTCCAATAAATGCAAATTTATTTAAAATTGTGTTTTAGTCGATTGTAGGAGATAATTTGATTTAATATTACACTGGGTAAGATTTTTAGAAAATGTCTCTCACCTGTACTGAATGGTCTGAATCACTTTCTTGAGGTAAAGGACAGGGTGCTGCTTGTGATTCCTGAAGTTTTTCTTTTAACTTAGCATTTTCTTGCTCTTTTTGAAATAGTTGATCCTGAAGATTAACAACACTTTGCCGGAGCATAGCTTCATTTGCTTTTGTGGTTTCAAAACAAATATGTAACTCATTGTAAAGCTGTTTCAAAAAATATATCCAAATTATATTAATAATCTATTAAATAGTTATGTATCTGTAAATATATACATTTATATATATATATACATATATATATATACGTATATATATGTGTGTATATATATATACACATATATATATACATATATATATATACGTATATATATGTGTGTATATATATATACACATATATATATACATATATATATATACGTATATATATGTGTGTATATATATATACACATATATATATACATATATATATATACGTATATATATGTGTGTATATATATATACACATATATATAATCACGGTGAATGACATAGTCCTTGCCCTCAGGTTATTTTACTAGTCTAAGAGATAAAGAAGACATAAACATAAGGAAAATTAAATAACATAATGAAATATGAATAAAACTACAACTGGTACCAAAAAGGCAATATGTATTATTAGCCAGTGCAATGTAGGGAAAGAATGCTGAATTTCTAAGTAGGATGAAAATACTTCAAGCTAGCTATATAAATCTCAGAGAGCTTCATGAAAAAGAAAGGACTTGAACTGAGCCATGAATGTATTACTGGAACTGACTGAAAACAAAGTCATTCTAACGGTGGCAGAAATTTGGAAAATAATGTACAGTGACAGGAAAGGACACAAAGGAGAATAAGATATATCAGCTTAATTGAACTTACTATAATGAGGGTACTTCAGAAAGTCCTTGGAAAAATTTGTATTATCTTTCAATTCTATTTTTCCACAAATTTTGTGAAGTACCCTTGTACACATTTGAAAAAAGAAAAACGAAAAACTAGGAGTATTTTACTGAGGATTCATTAAGGTTGACTGATATATTCCCATTTAGTATAAATTAGCATCTACTGCTAAGGAGGGTTAGAAGGAACTGTGAAAGACAAAGTCAGGCAAAAAGGTTATAGACAAAATATAAAAACTCTCCAAGACCAGATTAAGGAGGATGGACTTGTTCTGTAATTAACAGGCAGTTATTTAAGACCTTAAACAGTGTGATAACATAGAAACACTGTTCTAAAGGTGTGAGAGATAACTTAAGAAAATTTCTAAGGCAATGTGAATTAAATAAATATAAACTAGAGATCATTCAAAGTGTGACACAACATATGGTATTCAAGAGGTGTCATACAGAGTAATATATGGTATGCCTCCAATACTCATGAACTTACTTTGTAATAAAAATACTAAGTTATGATTGTGATTTAATGAGACATAATTCAATCTATGGTAACTGACGTACATACAGAATCTGTATATGTATATCTGCTGCTGATACTAGGAAAGTGACCCAAGAGCTAAGACTTGTTTAAAAAAAAAAAGTCTAATAGTGAGATAGTAAAATTTTATAACAAAGCAAAAGCCGCAATGGAAAACCTCAAAATTATGTAGCTGATACAGTAGGTTTTTAGGTTTGCTCATTCAGTTAAAGATGCAGAACATCTTCCATTAGTTGGCCTTGCCTCATGGAAAGAAACTTAAACAAACAAAAGACTGTAAAGCTTTAATTCATCTATATACTAAGTATTTGTATACATTTCTGTATGTATGTTACATTTCAATTTTTTAAAGTTTAAAATAAAACAAATGCTTCTGAATTTCCTTAGTGCATTTCCTCAAATATATAGTTTGTCATAAAAACAAGACCCCCAAATTACTCCTCTGACATACAAGTATAACTGTATAGCTCAATATACTTTTTAACTTCTATAGAGGATTATCTCTGTATTATTATAGCGATACTTAGATAATCCACTTCACTTTGTAGCCAAAGTCTAAGCAATATTTAGAAAGGAAATGTTGCCTATATGACTTATAAAGAATTTCAGACCATAAATTTGTGCTCTCCCCTCTCATTACCTTTATATCAGGGTGTATGTCCAATGTCCTTTCCACAGCTGATATCATCAGATATTCTAGAAGGAAAGAGAGAGTAGGAATCTGACAGCTTTGAGGGACAATGAAGAGGTCAGAGTGGACCCTACAGTGGCCTACCTGTACTGTGTGTGGCTGCTTTTGTAACTTGGTAAGTTCAGTAAAAACTTCAGAATTCCTTATAGCAGTTTTCAGAAAGGCTCTTTTCTCTACATTTTTTCTTCTAACAGTCCAAAGAGCTGGGATGGATCAGAATTTTTTGCAAAACTCTGGCCATAAAAACAATTATTATAACCCATTAGTAATTTATTATGCTTATTATTCTTCATGCTATTTTCTGTTGATGCTTTTAAAGTGAAAAAAGGTTGAGAGCATCTCCAAGAGACAGAAAGCAAGTTATCTCTAAAAATAGGACTCTAAACTCCAAGTCCTTTAATTTTCAGGGTCTTAGACTGAAGTATTTTTTTCCCAAATTTTTATTAGTGTTGAAAAACAAAATGATATTTTATTTACCTTAACAACTTGGGAAATGTATATACTCTGTAATCCAATAATAGTTGTGGAGTATACATAAAGCAAATGTATTTCACAGGGCCTGGTTTTCCAAAGCCTTGCAGTTTCAAATATTAAACTTGCAAAAGACAGCAAATTTTCCCCAGGCTATACTCTCTGTTGTAACATAAAGAACTGTAACACAGCAAGGTTGCTGGCTCAAAGACAGAAAGGTTACTGATTGATATGTAAAGATACCGGGAAATTGCTGTAAGAAGAGAATGTTTGCTAAGATCAAGCTTTTGTTGGTGGATCAACTTAACTTCTTGAAAATTGCATTATGGAATGTCACCTTACTTGTCTTACTGAATGTTACCAGTTTCTATTACACTTGTTAAACTATACTTAGCAAAAACCCCACCCATGTTCTCTTCCTGAAACTTCCTGGTCTGGAGAATAAATGTGGGAAGAGAACTCCAATTTGGGGTTAATTTCCCAAATGGAAGGAATGCCTCTATCTTGAGGGTTCCAGGAGATTAACCCCTTTTCAGGGCTTGTCACTGCTCAGAAGAGATGGACTCTGAGTAATCTTTTCTCCATTACCTAGGAGAAAAGGGGTGACAAATCCGTGGGAGGCAAAGCAACGATAGTAATTTGTTTAAAGAGTTAAACTTTCCATATTAATAAGTATACTATTTGTGACACCAAGACAATAAATTCAAATGAAAATTGTGTCTATTTATAGCAGAAAATGAGAAGAAAAAACTCTGATTTAACATGCATTTAGACTAAAAGTATGTATAAACTAACTCCTTATTTTCCCAGATTGATATTAGTTTGTGTAATGTAATTATCATTAAACAGAACAAAAGATTATAAAATAAAAACATGTTAGATGGTTTAGAAATTATAAACACTGATACAATTCCTATCAATACTTAAATCACACAGATATATAAATGATGTGCAGAGATATAAAGATATAAAAAAATTATGTAACGGCTACACGCTCAGAGAAGAGAACATGCTAGCTTACTTTAATTATTTTGATGGGTATTACTCTTCTAGAATAGCCCTCCACATTAGATGGTAGGTAGATTTGAGTATGAGACTAATGATTTATTTGGAGGCCTCCGGTGACTCACTTCCTTCCTGTGCTCAAAAACTTTTTCAGTTTTCTCTCTTCACCTTTGTCTCTCCTTATTCCCCTCATCCTACCACTCTGGGCAACTATTTTTATCTTTTCAGATAATAAAATGGATATTATTATACAAACCTACTTAATAAATAAGAGAAAGGAGGGGAAATGAAAGAGCAAGAGAAAAAAAAGAAGGGCAGAGAACTGAGAGAAAGAGAACAGAGGAAACAGAAACTTCACTAGAAATAGTAAATTAAGAAGACCTAACTCTTAAAGAAGTAAGTTCAGTAAAAACTTGGACATAAATTATTTTTTAATTCAACTCACTGGAGTCTTACAGCTAAACCTCAATTATTATTTAGAGATATTAAAATTAATCTATGTGAGAATATATTTAAACTCTTAAAGAAGTAAGTTCAGTAAAAACTTGGACATAAATTATTTTTTAATTCAACTCACCGGAGTCTTACAGCTAAACCTCAATTATTATTTAGAGATATTAAAATTAATCTATGTGAGAATATATTTAAAAATCTGAATTTTTAAATAAACAATTTCATTTCATTGTTGCATCGCTCATTAGATTATTCAAGTATGTTGGAAAAATATAGACAAATACACGTGGAAAAGGAATAAAGTATTCATTAAAATGCTCTAGGATTACTATGAATAATTTGATATAAATGAACACTGGAACACTAAATAGTAGCACACATGATAAATAAAGCAGTGTGGTTATTCCCAAATTTTAAAATACTATACTCCACGACCAAGACATTTTCTGGGGGGAAAAAAAACAAATTTAGTAAAAAATCTTCAGAAAGTCAAAAACTTAAAAACCATGATGCTATAGCAAAATTAAAGAAATCAAGTTTGTACAATCAGGAGAAATAGTGGGTAGAGAGTAATGACGGAGGCCCTTTTCCCAAATGATGTTAACATGCAATGCTCCTCTTTCACTAAAAAGAATGCAATGGAATCTTGTGAATAACATTTAACTTAGATATCAGGATAATTTTCCAACATTAAAAGTTATTAAGCATTGAAAGAATTTTGGTGAGAATGGATAATGCAAGTTTGCAGAATCTGCTTATCAAGTCCTTTAAGGATAAGATCACATTTTTTCCATGTATAACTGAACTATACTATGGACTTTGTAATAAAGTTGGAGAGTATGGATTCTGGACTCAATATTACCTAGATGTGAACTCTATATACATAGCTGTTTGACTTTAATTAATTAATTAATTAATTTTTATTTCTGCCGTTTGACTTCAGACTATAGGGTAAGCCTCAGCTACTTGATCCATAAAACAGGAAAAATAATAATACCATATAGTGTTGGTGTGGAGCTTAAATAATGAATCAAAAGCTAGTACCTGATACACAATAAGCTCAATAAATGTTAACTACTATTATTATACGGTTGCTGGAGATGCCTTACATTTTACTTTAATTTACATAATATATCTCTAAAACAATGTGTGCAAACAGAGACACAGATTCTCCCTGGCGTATACTACAATTTTCTATTCTTTATCTTTACTTATGATTGTGATCTAACTAGAAGGTCTTCTCACTTGTATTCTTAGTGTCTTCACATTTTTTACCACTACAGAACCATTCACTCACCCAAACAGTTAAAAGTTAAATGGACTAGAATAATATTTTAATTAAGACAGACATATCCCTGTAAAGTTTTAAAATACTCTTACAATTCAAATAAGCACCTATGATTTTAAAATTGTACTATCCAAAGTAGGATATTCAACTCCCTAAGGTTCAGTAATTTACATTTACTGAATATGTGATAGGCAGTTCTCCTTCCAACTCCATGATACCCTGTGTATTCTTAATTAATAATTAATAATTTAAACAAGACTATCTTTATGTACTAATTAAGACTTAACTGCACACTGTTTATATGATGTTACTAGCTTCTTCATAAAAGGAATTCTTCCCTGGGTGAGTGGGTCATGTTGTGTGTATGTGTGTGTAGTCGATACACACTCTAATGAATAGTAATAGTCTGAACTGACAACAAAGAGATGTTTATTGCAACTTTATTTACAATAGCAAAAACTTTAAATAACTTATATAATCAACACTGGAAAAATTATTAAATGAACTGTATTACTATTTCTATAATAGTTAATATGTCATGATATTGTTTTAATATAATGTTGAAGTGAAAGATATTAGTGTGTTCATAGATATGTTAAAATGCATTTTAAAAGCTGTAAAGAAATATTCAAAATATTAACAGTATTTGCCGCTGGGAGATGGAATTATAAAAGATTTTTTCTTTGTTGAATAACTATTCTTGTATGGACTCCCAAAGAAAAATAACTGTAATGTCTGCTAACCACAGGCAAAATTTATAAAGTATAAATAAATAATCAAGAAAAAGACTTTCCAATTGAGTCTTGTTGAAGATACTAATGAAAACCTTATGAACAACTACAAGGATCTAAAATAAATTCAAAATTAAAATACTAGAATGGGAATTACAGTTTCAGAATGAGTATTAAGTTAAATATCAGTGAAGTTTTCATCCCTCTAACTGACATAATGTTTGAGGAACAAATAAAAAGGAAAACAGAATTCAATCTGGAGAAAGGACAAAAAATAGACTAAACACAAGGAAAAGTAAGGAAATTCTTTAAATTAGCATATGTTCTTTTTTGGTTTCTTTCCACCTCAATACTATTCATAAGAACAACACATTCCCATCACTTACATCTCTCATTATCTATTATGATTCTTGGAGGGGATAAACATGATCCTAGGGGAAAGGTGTGTGAGGTTTCAAAAAGTACCCCAGATCAAAATTTAGGTTATGAAAAAAAGTTCTACAAATAGGGGTATATAAGCTCTTCCTCTCCAAATTTAGTAAAGGCACTGACTAGGGAATTTATGGTTTGAGATAGAGTTCATTTGAACAGTTATAAGAAACTAGTTTGTCTTACTGATATCTTTTTATCTTCTCAAAATAAATCACTAATGTTACTTCATCAAGGAGAGCCTTCTTTATCCCTAGCCATGTTCCCATACTTCTCTCTACTTCTGCTATTACAACATACATCATTCTTACTTCTGCTATTAAATGTCTGTTATCAAGTAATTTTAAGCTATAAGAGGTGAAGAATAAAAGAAATAAAATGATATCTATGCAATTAACCAAGGGAAGAGCTTTCAGGCACTGAAAGCAAGTGCAAAGACCTTGAGGTTGAAGAATACTTCATACATTCAAGGAATAAAAACAAGGTTAGTTTGGCTGAAATTGAGTAAATAAGGAGAAGAGAAGGCAAAGATGAGAGAAGATAGATAATGTAGAGTGAGATCATGTAAGGTCTCACAGATTGTAGTAAGAACTTAACGTTTTTACTTTTAATGGACTGGAAAACCAATGGAGGGATTTGAAAAGAGAAGTGACCTGATTGAACTTTCTAGGTTTTAGCAAGAATATCCTGGCAATTGTGTTGAGAATGGACTCAAAGGGTATAAGGTCAAAGCAAAGAAACAAAGTGGCAAGTTACTGCAATAATCCAGATAATACATGATAGTGACCCAGACAGAATGGTGACAGCAGGGGTGGTGCTAAGTAGAATAATTCTGCACACATGCTGAAGATAGAGCAGACAAAAGCTGAATTTTAAGCATGTTAAGTATGAGATGCCCATTAGACATCCAAGCAAAGAGACATTAATTAAGTAGACAATTAAATATATTCTTTCCTAGAGTTCAAGGAAGAGATCCAGGGTAGACAAACAAAGTTGGGAGTCATCTGCATATAGACAATATGATTTTTAGAACCCAGGTGATAAAATCATCTGGGGTACGAGTTTAAACAGAAAAAAGAGGTTCTAAGACAGAGGCGTGGGACATTTTAACACTTACAGAGGACACGGAGACTAGAACGAACCATAAAGAAACTAAAAAGGAAACTGAAGGAATAAAACCACACAATTGTAGTGTACTGGAAGCAAGAAGGGGAAAAAAAGTGTTCCAAGAAATAGGGAGTGATCAATGGTTACAAATGTTGAAGAAAAAAAAATAATACAATTAAAGTTACTAATAAGGCAGAATTTTTCAAATTATTTTAGCAGTGATGCCTGGTTTAAAAACAAAAGAATAGTGGGCAATTCCACCGTATAAAACAAAAGTGGGTGGAGCTAGTTGAAGTGGAGAGCATAAGCTTTACCCTCCCGCTTTGTATTATCCATGTTCTTAGGGAAACAGGAAGGGAACACACAACACAGAGTGAAAACCACTGTTCCAAACCATCATTAAAAAATATGTGTTTACAGTATACTTAATAAAGTTATTTCACGTTAATTGTTGATATTCAATTTTCATGGTGCTTTTTCAGGAGAAGATTAAGACTAAAAGAAAAAAATCCCCCAAATTTAATATGTATTGCACTACTTTACATCTCTAAGCCTGACCTGCCCCAACTATTAAAAGGGAGTAACACCACTCTCATAGGGTTGATCTATATACAAACTAAAATATTTATTTAAATACCTTATCACACTACACAAAACATACAAGGAACTCAATAAAGGTGGGTTTTTTTTTTTAATTACTAGCCATAATTATTGCAACAGAGTCAGTTAGCATATCTAAATTGCTGAGTAAGCCTTCTTGAAGGGCTCCTAAAACAAGTGCAAAGAAATGACTACTGAAAAGAAACATACAAAATAAAGAGAAAAATCATTGGAAAATATTGACACTGAAGAACTCATCAGCATTCTCCTTTGTGTTTGTGCAAATCTGCCAGTAAAATAATGCATAAATTTGATAATAAAAGTCTGCCTTAGGTCATAAACAAGATCATATTTGAAGAAATAATTTCTTGTAATAGAAGGCTGAGGAATTACATTCCCCAAATCTTCCCAGATTCAGACCTACACCTCTACTATGTTTCAGAGTAGATATGAAAATTCCAATTTATAAAGACAATATCCTACAGAATAAATTTACATCTATATTTTCTATGGTTCAGCTCTAATTAACCATAAAGTAAACTCACAAAATTTTAAATATTACCAAATTGAATCATACTCCATACTTAATTTTGAAGAAACTTATGTAAAAGGCAGTAATAAAAAAATGTTGAAATTTGAAAAAAGTTGAATTCTATATATTTTCAACAGTTCATACGTACAAATTTACATTTTTATGACAGAATAAAAGCATACTTTTTGATACGATATACTTTCAGCTGTGTGAACATCTTCCTGATTTCTCAGTACTTTTTGAGTGTCCATATTGAGAACCTGAAGCTGCTGGATCAGCTCTGCTTGCTGCACTGTATGTGCACTGTTCTGCTTGTAAAGATTCTGCAGCTCCTGCAGTTCTTTCCTGTGTAAAGCAAGCAATAAATAGAGAGAAGCATTAATAAAGATTATCTCAGCTAAATAACTATGTTCATCTAAAGTTATATACAGGTTTCCTATTTTTCATCTATTGTTTTTTGCTGCAGGGAAACTTATTAAAAAAATAAATAATATATAAAGTATTTAATATTTATCACATACACCTAGAAAGTATTGATAGAACTACTATAACTTAGAAAGCCAAATACTTATCAATTTTCTTTTATAGCTTGATAGTAATAAAAACCCTGAATATACAGTCATAGTACCACCTTCTTATTGAAATTAAGTTAACACTTGAGTTTCAAGAAAAGATAAGTACTGATGCCAACTATAGTTATCAGACAGTTGTGAACACAGGGTATGTCAACCTTTCATGTACATTATATAGAATTTTAAATACATTAAAAAGAATCCCAATTTCATTTTCTTATCAATTACTTAGTTCAGATATTTTGTTATAAGCAACAGAAATGGACTAATACAGTTGTTGATCTCGAGCTTACTGTATACACATCTTATCAGAATCAGCTTTAGATTTATACTAACTTTAATTGTAGTGCTATACAGAAACATTGCCCCTATATAGCTATGTTCCCTTTCCCCTTCTTTGGCAGAATTATTGTTATACATATTGTAAGTATTATACATATTATACCTATAAATGTTCAGCCTCAACAATAAATTGTTATAATTATTAAAAACAAAAAACCAAAAGGCAAATTAAGTTTTCCAACTGAAGTTCCTTAAAGTCCTAGTGCCAATTTTAGTTTGTAACTTCAAGGTCCTGGTTTGGGATTCCTCTGACTCCTCTAATCCTGCTTGAAGGGAATAATAAATAAGAAAGTCAAAAGGAAGGACAACACAGGGAAAAACCAATCCTTCTAAACTACCCGGGGTGAAATTTGTAAGCAGGAGAACAAATGGGCTAGTGGTGGTAATGACGGTACGTACTAAGGGTCCCAGAGAACCACACCTCTGGGATAGAGGTTTCCAGATTCCTGTGGTAGTGAATTCTGAAAAATATAGATCATATAAAATTGGAAATCATTTTGTATATTCAATCTGAAAAATATTTACAGAGGCCTATTTCATCAAAATACACTATAGAATATATATTTTGGAGTTTGTATTTTTTAAAACAGAACTCTTCTTATATATAACTTAAAACTGATTCATTTACATAAGATAAATCTTGAAAGAAAGAAGGCACAAAAGACATATTTGAGCAGTTGCTGAAGGTGGACAAAAATTAATATGGGAGAAACAAGGTTTAGAACATTAACGTTCTCTAACCACAACTACAACCCCTGCACCCATACAGATACATATACACATGCCACCTTTCTGTAACTATTCAAAACACTAAAATTTGAAGAAAATAACAGTCCAAAAATGGGAGAGGGGAGAGAAGAGAACCAATAATGGCACAATTCCTCCAGACAATGTAATGTTTACAAGAGGAGGGAAAAAGAGAACCATAGTAATAATATATGCTGAGTATTACCATTTTTCATGAATAACACTGGCAAAAATTATCCAAGGAGATAAGCAATAGTGTAGGAGAAAATTCCATCTGAGTATAGTCAAGATATATGTTAGCCTGGAGACCTAAGGAAATGTTGCATTCAGAAAGGGGACATGATAAAGATAAAACATATCTTTCAATACAATGTAAAACATAGCAAATTCCAATATTAGAAGACATTTGCTATTTCTTAATGAGAGAGCCAGAATCAGTAGTTGGCTTGCATTTAAGGATCACATGCAACAAAATATATGTATCTTTAGTCATCAGAAGCACACTCAAGAGTAGGGAGATGTCCATATTATTATGAGTCACTTGAGGATTAAAAATCAACTAAGGAAAGAGCTTACTTATTTTTGTCTCCCATCTCATGCTATTTGCTAGACATACATTTAATATGTAGAATAAAAGCATAATCTTACATTATGTAAATATATTTCTTTCTTTGGTCCCCCCCACTCCCTAAAAAGTAGATGGATGATATGTACATTAATGTTGCAAATATAAAAGTGGAACTTGGTTGGTATCAAAGAAGTTAACAAAGAAGACTTATAAAACTCACACATCTGGACCACTGTAAAACACTGAATTTGTCTAGATTTTTCTTCATTTGAAAACAAGTAAAGAAAAACAAACAAGACATTAAAAGGGAGAGGACATAAAATTAAGAAAAAAGAAATTTCAATGTACATATTCACAGGAAAAGTACACCTCTGACTAGGAGTTACTGAAGAAATTAAAGAAAAATAAACAAAAAGAAGCCATCACACCTCTCTGAAACAGCAATTGAAAGCCAAGATATGAGGGCATCTCTGTGAGGGCAGGGACATTTTTGTTTACTGCTGTAAACAGAGCATCTAAGACAGTCCCTGTCTCTTATTAAATTTTCATTGTTATCTCAAACACATCTTATGCATCTTTTTAGATTCAGCCTTAGAAAGCCTGTCTCCTAGGCTTTCAGTCCCTTGCTCTGCCTCAGCATATTAACTCCCACTTCAGCCTACCAAATTTATACAGCTCACATGGCTTCATCACTTGAGGCTAACCAGCTGCATGCCTAGAGTGTCTGTCTCCTTCTACCACATCTAGACTAGGATAAAATGCTACAATGCAGGGCATGGTATGAGCAGCAAACTTGGACCAATGGAAGACAAACACAGGAAGAAAAACCAGACTGATAAATTCTTCTTCCATCTGATGGACTACTCTAGGGCATGGTTTCTCCATCCAGAATCAACCTTGGTGGCTAATTCAGTGCACCTGCTGTTTCTTCATGGCTCATCATGAAGCAGTGGCCAGCATAATAATGCATTACCCTGAATTACTTTTTATCTTTCCATGCCTCAGATTCTTGTTTGCTCAGCTACTTTGCACTGGAATTTAATCTCCCAAGTAACTAATCAGTATTTAATTCCTGACTCAGGCTCTGCTAGCATATCTGAAAACAGTTGTTGAATGGATGAAATGAAAAAGATAACATAAAGAAGGATTGTTAAAAAGAAAAAAAGGTGCCATCATTGCATTAAAATCCATAGTGAAAGCAGTTATAAGCAAAATGAAATGTATGGAATATAAAATTAATTCTGTTAAGTTCAAACTTGAGAAGTTCCTCTAGACACCGATCAAAAGGAATAAAGGAAAATCTGGATTGAGCTGAAAGAGAGGATGCTGAGAACGAACAATGCTTCCTCCTATCTCAAGAAGGATGTTAAGTTCTGTAAAAAATACTGCATTGCTAAAAGGTAAATCAAATGATCTTTCAGTTATAGTGATGCTATCAGAGAGATTGAGTGGGCCATGGGGTAAATTAGGAATATCTTTATAGAGATCAGGTTTGATAACAAAAACTGATGGAAGGTTTCAAACAGCCTCTCTATGTTATTCCACAGTTTTTAAAAATCTTGATAGTTTACAAAAACAAAGATTTGTTGCTTGCTCACATTATATGTGGCTTTCCTCTATTCGAAGACCCAAACTGGAACATCAGACTGTATCGAGAATATGCCACTCCCCTGGCAGAGGGTGAAAAGTAAAGGCAAACCAAGCAACAACTCCTTTAAAACATTTGCCAGGATGTGGCCCATGTCTTTCCCTCTTATACCGTTCACCACAATAAGTCACATGGTTAAATCTGATGCCAATGGGGAAGAAAGCATACTCTAGCAACAGAGAAGGTCCTGGTAAAGATAAGTCCATGAGATGAATAAAAACAAGAGTATGGAAATGAACACATTAAGAGCAAAAACCTTAGTGATGAGCACTGAAGTAATATATAGAACTAAGCCTAAACATTTGTGGGCATTACAGTTATACAAGAGGAGATAAATACTATAATTCTTGAGACACAAATTGAGGGGGGAGTTAAAACGATTGGATTTATATGCTAATTTCCAAAGTATACATAGCAGATGTCAAAACCAACCAAAGTTAAAACATAGTTTTTAAAAAAACAACATAATAACATAACCTTCAAAGTTTTCCATGTCATTTCTTTCTTAGGTTTAGAAAAAGAGTTATTGTTTCTTAAGAGAAGAAATAGTTATCTGAGATTTAATAATTCCCTCAATTTCACACCAGAGAGCCTTATTGTTCTATTATATTCATAAAAAACTAGTTATTAGTCACTAAAAGAATATGCACAACAGAGTCTCTTTTATCTAAAAACTCCTGCCTACCCAATCTTGAACATATAAATATAAACCGAGAAAAATCTACAATTGTCACAAAATTTTAATGGTTATTATTTCTCCAGGGTGCATTTTAGTGTAACTTTTTTCTCTATCTTCTTTGTACTTTTCTGTACTGCATATTTTTTTTTATAATTCACATATATCATTTATACCAAAATAATTATGTCTTTGTTTTATGAGTTATCATAAACAGAAATAAAGCAAGAATAGCAATATCAATTTCAGAGGAATGAGAAGTCAATGCAAAAAATTTATACAGAAAGGGCCGGCCCGTGGCTCACTCGGGAGAGTGCGGTGCTGATAACACCAAGGCCCCGGGTTCGGATCCCACATAGGGATGGCCGGTTTGCTCACTGGCTGAGCGTGGTGCTGACAACACCAAGTCAAGGGTTAGGATCCCCTTACCAGTCATCTTAAAAAAAAAAAAAATTTATACAGAAAAAAGTAAAAATTACAATTCACAGTAAAAACAAAACTGTAAACACTTTATCTACCAAAAACTTGCACATCAAAACATGTACAGCAAAACTATAAGCAATAAAAGGAATATCACTTGGATACTATATGGCAAGGAAAGATTCCATTTAAAATAGCAACAATAATAATAAAATAATATGACCTCCAAAGAAATAAACCCACACAAAAACAAAGCTAAGTCAACTACATAATTTAACAGTAACAAAAAGTATATCTAAATAAGGAAGTGCCTATACCACTTTTTCCATGATTATGGCTTTGTGTGTCTTCAGTACAACATACAGATTCAATAAAGTACCCTGGAATATCATAACTACCCTTTCACCATGGAATAAAAATGATGAAGGAAATGAAATACATAGTACATACATCCAACAGGTAATCCTCACGCAAACAGCGCAGGATAAACACCACAGACATATCAACTACTACCCTATAATGAGGATTCACGTCAAAGTCCTCTGTTCCAAACTACCAACTATGTGTTACCCTCCTCCTCTGAGTCCTTATAATCAAACTCTAACAATTACACATGGCCCATTAGCTATTACCATTTTATTTCTGTGTAAGAAAACGTGTATCCGTGGTATTATTGCTTTATTTACTGTAACTTATAGCTCTTGCAATACACTAAATTTAAGTATACAAACTTGGGCAAAATTTAGTGGAAAAGACAATTATTATAATCCCACATACTTAACTCTACACTGTATCCTAGAATGGATACTATGTTCCATCCAATAGCTTAACACTATCATTCTCTAAAATGGAAACATCATTGGTGAAATATTTTATACAGTTCTAGATGCCATATTTTAAGGAGACTATTACAATATGGATACTGACAATATGGGATATATTCAGAGAGGAAACCCAAAACACTATAACATCTGTGAAATACATACATGAAGAATTTGTATGAGAAATAGAGATAGTTAACCAATTAGTGAAAAAATGTGGTCATCGATAACTATCTTCTATGGGCTAACTAACAATAGGGCTATGTTATAAAAAAGAGAATTAGATTGTCTCTAAGATTCCAGAAAACAAAACTAAGATAAATGGTGGAAATTACAAAAAGATAAATTTCAATTCAATATATGAAACAATATTCAAAACTTTAAAACAATATAAAATGAAAACAACAGTCTTGAAAAGTATGAGAAGCTTTTAAACTAAAAGTTGGGCTGGTGAGTTAGCTCAGTTAGTTAGAGCCTGGTGTTTTAACACCAAGGTCAAGGGTTCAAAAAAAATTGATTTGTTAAACTAAAAGTGTTAAGCAATGACTAAACGCTATACTATCTTATTGAGAAGATAGGAATAAGTTGTAATATTAAAATTTTTTCCAAAGATTCTATTCGTATTTAGAATTACTTTTCTGACATTATTAAATAATTGGCTTAAAAAATAATTACACCATGAGTTGGTAAGCCAACCAGTCTATCGTCTATAAAATTTATACTTTTCCTCACCCTCATGATAAGAACATTTTTAAAATGTGATAAAAGGAATTTGTTAACATTCTAGTTCATTTTAATTTTATTGGCTTCAATAAAGATAAATAGTCTTTCATCCAAAGTAAACTCACAACAGCATATTCAAATTTACAAAACCATGTTTTACCCTATAGAATTTAAAAACTTTTGATAAATAACACTAACTTGACCCTCTTACCAATGCCCACTTAAGCGAAAGAAAATTCACAATCAAGTTTTACCAAAAGAACTCCACCCCAATGTGTACCAGAACGACAGTGACTTCCTCCATCCTACAGGTACTAAAATTTTTTAATTGAATTAAAATAAATTATATAATCAAAGCTTATCATATACCTCTATAAGCACACCTTCAATTGCATGCTCTGGTGTCACCAAGATAAATACCCACATATACATATATAAATATACATGTATGAATGTGCGTGTGTGTATATAGATATACAAATATATATAAATCTGTTAACCAAGCAAAACTCCTGTCCTGATTTATTCTATCACTATTTTCTGATAAAGGTAATTATGAAGTCAAATAATAGGTCATTTTAACATCTTTCAAAACACTTAAAAACACAAGTATATCATGCTTACTTTTTCAAGTAATCCCACTGAATGAGTAGTATTATAAAATTAATTATGTTGATATAGAAGGAATATTTCAGAAACTGAAATTATACGTGAAATAATAAAAGAAAGAGTCAAACTTGTTTCTCGGTTATTGTTCATTATAACAATATGAATATCATACAACATATGGCTAGGAATTTTAGGAGGAAACAATGAATGAATGCATAGCCCTTGTTAAAAACTGAAACACAGGTACTCCTTTGACCATGCTTTCCCAATCCTGTGCACCCTCTGATTCTCCTGGGTAACTATTTCCAGTTTAATATATATAATTACAGATTTTCAATGCACAAACATATGTACACATAGAAGATATACTGTTGTCATTTTGGGGTGTTAATAATAAACATTAATGGTGTCACTTTGAATGACTAATGACATTTCTATAATGTTAAGAATTGAATATACTTGCCTGACCAGGGTAATATCCATATCCTTCTGGATAAGTTCAGTCTGTTTATTATTCAACTGTAATGATAGAGCATTATATTTACTCTGTGATATTTCAATTTCTTTTCTTGCTTCAATTAAACTGTCTTCAAAGGCCTAAAATTAGAGCACTCATATCACAATCAATCATAATAACTATGAAATATAACAAAAAGTCTGTTATATTCAACAATTCTACAAAAAGAGAAAAACTATTAGTGTTTTTTTCTGTTTTCACTTAAAAATTTTTAGAACAAACAATAACTTTTATGCAGTCACAGATATTTTTTTTCCAGAATCTGAAAAAGTATTGTGGCTTGCTGGCGTGAAAGTCAAAAATATGAACCAAATAAACTTGAAAATCTGTATGGAAATTTAATTATTAAAATTATAATAAAGAAATTATTGTGCAATAAAAAAGTTGCTCATTAAATGAAACACTCAGAGAAGAAAAGACAGTAATGTAAAGGTATTAAAACAGTCTTCCAATGTTTGAGACTCAGATCATGCTCAGGTCTCTTGATTGTGGTAAAATTTCACCTAAAATTCCTCAAAGATTGCCTTTTCCCCCTGATCATTCTCTAAATATTTTTTCATTTTTAAACAATTTTAAAACATGATGTTATGTTTTTAAAAATATATATTATAAAATTAATTTTAATTATTCATGAAGAATTAAATAAATATCATACCTAAATACAATATGTCCACATAAACACCATACATTCATTATTTCCAAAAATGAGCACCATTCCTTAGGTCAAGAATTAGAAATTCCCATTTATTCACAAAAAAGCAATGATAAGATAGATACATAGGTAGGCAGAAAGACGGACAAAGAAAAGGAAGTAATGAGGGAGAGAGGGAGAAAGGACATTTAAAGAGCTCAAAAACAAAAATAAACTATGTCAATGGACCTGAAAGCACTTAAAGCACTCAAAAACAAAATAACTGTGTCAATGGACCTGAAACACAAAGTGGTGATAAACAAATACTTTTCTATCTCTGTGCCCTACTATATTTAGAGATGGCTAGATGTTCAACTACTGAGAGGTAATTTAGGACTAAACACACTGTTATGCTTGGCAAGGAAAAAAATTTTGTGGTAAGCTATTAAGAGGAAGCTCTACCACAGTAACAAGATCAAATTTAGACCAACTAGTTTACTAGTGGAGGACACAGAGGTAATTTAGGACTAAACACACTGTTATGCTTGGCAAGGAAAAAAATTTTGTGGTAAGCAATTAAGAGGAAGCTCTACCACAGTAACAAGATCAAATTTAGACCAACTAGTTTACTAGTGGAGGACAAAGATAGCAGAGCCCTCTTAAGGTAAGAAGAAACCTTGAAGACTGGCTTCAAAAACTATCCCTGCAAGACAGGGTAATCAGACAAGAAAAAAAGCATCCAAATTGGGGGGGGGGGGGGTTAAATTATTTTTTGAGGTTTATTTTGGTTTTGGTTTCCTTGCATTTGAAAATCCAGCACAGACCATGTCCAAGTTTGAAGGAGAGCTATTATTCTCTAGAGTATACTGTTAGCTTCGGTAGAGAGAGAACAGGGAAGGGGTAGAAAAGTGAATGACTCTATCTCAGCACAGTAGGACAACATATTCTCACTAATGAGAATGAGAACAAACGCAGATCCAAAACAGTCACAATAAACTCATACGGAATGTTCACATTTTTTTTGTTGCTCTGAAACCATCAAGTACTAAACAATGTTTAAAATAAATGTGTCAAGGATAGAGACTGGAAATTTTACACTCTAAATGTTATAAAATAAAATAAGATATTTTTAATAATTAGATATGATCCACTTTTAATTTCATAAGACTTTTCTTTGGTGAAGGTCAATTAATACTATACCTATTATCTCAATTCCCTTCATACTTTTCTGTGCAGTTGATCCTATAATTTTTCAAACCATGACTTTTAAATAAAAAGCGTTAGAATCCAATGCACAAATAAATTTGGATTTCGAAGAAACAATTGAGAGAGGCAACAGTATGATATATGAATGTGATTTTGACTGTTTTTAAAATGGTTTATTGTTCATGAGGGTTCCTCGTAGAGCTTCAAATTGTCAAAAAATCATCCAGTTTTTTTCAGAATAATTTATATGTGCCATAACATTCTATAAAGTGAAGATTCTTCTTTGTTCTCTGTCTCAACTGTTTCTTTTCTAATCCTTTCAATTCTGCAAATAAATCTCATTTTGAACTTTAATTTGGCTACAGTATTTCAACTTCCAGAGATTAGATTTCAACTCCGAGTTCTAACTCTATGCTGATCCAAGTAGGGGATAAGATGAAACCAGTTATGTCTTCTTTTAGATGCCTGCAGTCACTCAGTGACATCAGAGAGCCTTCCAAAGGTCCAAAGGGTGCTCTGCTGCTAACGGGAGCACTAAAACAAGTGTTGGAATATCTCCATGCGAACAGCAAAGCACACCAGGAGCAATGTGTTTGGAAGACCAAGTGTATTTTGCTGGAAGCCGCTCTAACAAGAGTAGAACCTTTGAAAACAGGAGATTCAAAGAGGGACCATATACACTAAATAGCTTCAACTGATTATTTGGAAAAAAAAAACTTTGCTATACAAGATACTGATCTATTTCATCTTAAAATATGTATCACATTGACTTAATTTCTTATAATAAATGAAAGATAGTTATTTTGTGTTAATAAATAAATTGATACTTCCTATTAGTTGCATGAACTTTGGAGTCAGACAAACCTGGGTTTATATTTTGGCACCGTCAATTATTAATTATGTGATTTGGGGCAATATACTTAAACTCTCTAATTCTCCGTTTCCTTTTTAATTCAATAGTCACTACTTCATAGGATTACTCTAAAGATTCAATGAAACAATCCATATAAATTACTTAGCACATTTTTTAACCTTGGTAAGTATTTAATAAATGATAGCTACTTTAGGAGACTTGTGCCAATCTCCCTAGAAATACTTCTCTCACACAGTAATTCTGTTTGGAGCCCTTCGATTAACACATAATGGTGCTCAGCTGATGTTTCGGCAGTTTATTCAGCAGTCCCCCCAATCTGCAGGGGACACATATCCCCAGTGGATACCTGAAACTGTGGATAGTACCAAAGGAACTTCTCTGGTGAACTGTCAGCTCGGGTCCTGTTGCTCTTTCATTGGTGCCCAAACCCAGGAGAAGCTCACCCCTTACCCGAGGGGACTCCTTCTCGGACCTCCTTCACTCTCTCGGTGGTTCCCGCTGCTGACACTTCACCCTCATCCATTTTCTCCGGTGCTGGCTTTCCACACCCACCACCGGCTCATCCAAACGTCAGTCTCCCTTTAGAGGTGCCATTTTAAACTAGGACTACCCCTCCGGCGTCCAGTCCTAACAGGGGCAGTACGCCCCACTATGACCTTCAGGGCCTCAGTGGACCCCTAAATACTCCCTCGTCACACCAGACCATCCATATTCTACTCCTCTCCCAACCCAAAGTTAAAGGCGATCCTTGCAGGGCGAAGCTCCCATTCTCTCGCTTTCTCTTTCAATTTACTGTTTCTGTTTCTCCGAGCCCAGGGCTCGTGAAAATCCCGGCGCCGGGTTCCTTTGAGCCTCCGGGCACTCGCCCTTGCCGAGGTGACGGAAGGTTAAGTGACAACTTATACATTCCTCCCTCCCAGTTAGTCTCTGAACCTCCCGGACTGGCACATTATAGTGGGGACGCCCTCTATATTTGTGTCTTTCCCTCCCACCGGCCAAAGGATTCTCTCTTCTCCACCTACCTACCTTCCTCTCTCCTTCCTGCCTGAACATGGAAGNAAAAAAAAAAAAAAAAAAAAAAACCTGTTAGAACTAATTAACAAAGTTAGCAAAGTTGCAGGCTACAAAATCAAAACCAATTGTCTCTATACACTAACAATGAACAATCCAATAAGAAAACAACTCCATGTACAAGAGCATGGAAAAAATAAAATACTTAGGAAAAAAGTTAACCAAAGAGGCTGAAGATCTATACACTGAAAACTACAAAATGCTGCTGAAAGAAACTAAAGATGACATAAATATATGGAAAGACATCCTGTATTACTAAAATGAAAGACTTAATGCTGTTAAGATGTCAAAACTACTCACAGGGATATGTACAGAGTCACTGCAATACCTATCAAAATCCCAGCAGCATTTTTTGCAGAAATACAAAAATTCAACCTAATTTCATATGAAACCTAAAGGGAACCTATATAGTCAAAACAATTTTGAAAAAGAACAGAGTTGGAGGTTTCACATTTCCTGATTCCAAAACTTGTTACAAGGCTACAGTAATCAAAACAGTGTGGTACTGGCATAAAAACAAATAAATTAATGGATATAATGGAGAGCCCAGAAATATACCCTTATTTATAGAGAAGTATGCCAAAACTGTTTGATGAAGAAAGGACAATCTTTTCTACGCATGTTTTGATGAAGAATCTTCATTGAAAGACAATCTTTTCAACAAATGCTTTGGAAAACAGTCTATTAGTTCCTGAAAGCTTAAACACAGAGTTACCATGAGCCAATAATCTCACTCCTTGATATATACCCAAGAGAAATGAAAATATATGTGCATGTAGCAGAGAAAATGTAGTATTTAACCAAAGTTTTACATGATATGGATACTTAAAAATGAAGACCCAAAGACCCAGGAAAAACCATGTATTTTTACTAAAAATTCTGCAGAAGT